ATATATATATATATATAATGTAATTTTTTTTTCCAAGCAATTAATAAATAAATAAATAAACAATCCAATTAATTCCAAAAAAATATAAAAAAATACCAGAAAATTTAGAAACCCTAATTAATCCTCTTGAGTCACAAATTCACCTATACATTGATTTTAAAATATATATATACAACACCTAATATATATATATATATATATATATATATATATATATATCAATTTAAAGTCCAAAATTCCAAAAGATCAATTATAATAATTTATTCATTTAATTAATCCGATCTAACCATGATTTTTAAACAAATAAATTTAATCTAAACATTGATACTCAAGGTGATAAACTTATGAGTCCTAAGAGAAGAGTTAGAAAAGAACTTGCCTGAAGGTTTCGAAACGAAACCAACACTTCAAGCTTTGATTGTCTCTTCCAATTCCGGTGTCCTCTTTCTACGATCCGGACTCCTCTTTGTCAACCTTCTCTTCTTCTTCTCTCTCTGTCTCTCTTATATTTCTAACGTGTAAACTTTTTAATCCTAAACCTTATGTGTATATTTATACACATTAATTACCCTAATCCTATTCCAATTAGGATTACCAAATAAAAATAATAATTATTATCTTTAAATAATATAATATATATATATATATATATATATATATATATATATATAAACATATACTATATCATATATATATATATATATATATATCTTCCATAATTAACAATGGTTAATTAAATTATATATAGATCTATATATATATATCATTCCATAATATTTATTAATTAATTATATTTATATATAATTAAATACATATATTTACAGTTATACAAAAATGATTATTCTAGTAATCAAATAACCATGGACCTTTATTATTTAACCCAATAAGGTTTCCTTCAAGCCCAAGATCACATCATTTGGTCCAACTTCCCTTAAACCCAGACCAATTAATTTAAATAAATAAAATAATTAAATAACCACTTAAATTAAAATAACTAATTACCTAAAGCACATAAGCAAACAAGAATTTATAATTAAGTCATACCATATTAATAAAATTAACAGGCCAATAATTCAATCATGAATTAAGCACACACGCAACAATCATCATATCAATAATTCACGAAATATAAATAAAATAAAATAATTAATTTAAGCACTCAATAACACAAATCAATCAAAAATTAAAATAAACACAATTAATTAAAATTAAAACAAATAAATCATTTAAAAATAAAATAAAATAAATTAATTACAATTAATAAAACATTTAAAATATCGGGGTATTACATTCTTCCCCCCTAACAAAAGGAATTCCATCCTCGGAATTCACGAATCCATGAAATGAAAAACTTTGACTATGTAATTTCAAATTTCCATGTTACCTTTATTCGTGTGGAAATTAATCCATCCACACATACTCATAATTAGCTGGCATATCACGTAATTTATTAAAACGATGCTAAGCTAATCCATACTTGTTGCATTTATTTGCAACCTAAACTCACCAACTTACATGCATCTTGTGTACTTTTAAGTAGCATTGGATTATTGGATAATGTTTTAAGGGGTCCTTGAGTTATGGGATTCTCGAGTTGTAATTATTGGAGAATTATTAATTAATATTTATTTATTAGTTTTCTTCAACGGTTTATTTACTTCTTATTATTCATCTTTATATTATGTGTTCGTTTTAAATACTTTAATTATTTGATATTCCCTCAGGTTCGGACCTAGGCCTGATCAACCCGTGTCTCGAATCCGAGGGGTATCACACATATTCTGACAATGGCATAAATAAATAGGGATCTAACTTAATAGCCGGTCCATCTATATTAATACAATACTAAAACCATATCCTGACAATGGTCTCTCATAACCACAGAGATGGATAACATATTAGATCATACAAATAGCCATGGATACCAAAGGGCCTTTGACCAAATGGTATAACCTCCCCATCTTTAAAGAAGAGGGGAGGGGTTCGAGCCCTGGCGTAGGCTAAAAAAGTGTGTGTGTGTTTGTTTTACCATCCAAAAAAAAAAAAAATAGCCATAGACTGATTAAAATAACATTAATTTCTTAATAAGAAAGAGGAAGGAGAAAAAAAATATGCTGATATGGTTGGCTGTAAGATTGTCTAAAAAAAATTACACATCATATATGACTTTATATATTTTACATAAAAAAATTATTTTAAGAGACTCGCGGAGATACTCTTAAGCCTTTTTTAAAAATTAAAATGAGAAAGTGTGATATATTGAAGCTTGTTGATAATAAATAATATTATGCGGTAAGGGAATCTTGCGCACGTGTCATTTTCCGTCCAATGTGGATCATGTCTAGTTTTAGCATCGTGGCTTGTGTTGGACCGACCTCCTTGTGAATCATGTGATTCGCTCTGAATGTTGGACGTCATGTCTTGTTTGGCTTTTTGATTCTTTCTTTTAACTCTGCAAATATTGGTACTTAATTTCTTTATTAATTTTTTTTTTAAAAAAATAAAAATAAAATATCATCCAACGTGAATGTTAAAAAATTAAAAAGATTCTCACTTGTGACAAATTGTTAATAATAAATAAAAAGTAAAAACTCAACCACGTGAATGTTAAAAAATTAAAAGGATTCTCACTTGTGACAATTTGTTAATAATTGATGCTTTTGTTTATTAAGTACAAATTATGGTGGTTGGTTTTATTTTATTTATTTATTTTTTTAATAGTCAATTTGGGGTGTTCGGAATGACATGAACTCTTAGAGCCCCTCGACAATTCGATTAATTTCTGAGGATCTGAAAGGGCACCTACTTATCCGAACCGGGTAAGTCACAGCAGGGCAGCCGGGTAAGTCACTGCGGGGGCAGTCGGGACTAGTCACAAAGAACACCTAGAGGGACTCGAACTCCAGACCTTGAGCTTACTAAGTTTCAAAGTTCAGTGAGTAAATCGCTGGGCATATCCGAAGTGGATTCTTTAAGTCGAAAGTTGCTGGCTTTTAATCAATGAGCCAAATAAAAAATAAAATTTTAAAACGAACCCAATTAAAATATTGAGAAAAAAAAAAAAAATTTGCACTGAAATGGGATCAATAAAGTTTTTCGGAATAAAAAAATGTAAAAACGAAATCTTCTTCGTTCCACCTTACATCTGGCAATGTGAAATTAAAATTTACTTAAGTTCGATGTAGTTATTGAAAGCCTAGAAAATTTTAAATTCCTTAATTAATACGTTTAGAACAGCATCATAGAGCTTCACTCTGCTGATTTTGAATGATCAGAAGTGATGAAATCTAATTATGAAAAATAAAAAGAAAAATAGAGAAGAGGAGGCAATAAATTACAGGTAACGAAGTTGTAAAGAAAAGCACTATTCAAGAATTAAATTTATCAAACAATTTTTAAATTTTTCAAAAATTCAATTTTTGAATTATTATTTTTTATTACTTTGATTCTACTTTAATTTTGAATTATTATTTTTTATTACTTTGATTCTACTTTGAGAAATATATTTCATTATTATCATAATGAAAGATTAAGAGAAAATATGTAACATTTTATTGAACTGGTGTTTTTTATATATATAATTTGTCATCTAACATGTGACAACTAAAAATATTAATATATAAAATATTATTGTTATTGGCATTCTTGTCATCTTGGTCTAATGATATTATAATTTTTGTACTTTCCAATGCTCCCACGACTCGGCCATAGAAATTGGTATAGATTTTTAGTTGATTTTTTTTTTCTTTTTTGTAAACATCATTAAACGAATGACTGGCAAAGAAAGTTCATGTATTTTTATTAATTATAAGGACCTATTAATGTAATTTTTATTTATCTCATTTGATTTCATATGTTGAATATTGAAAATTATAAGTTTGTATATATAAAAGAACTACTATAACATATTTTATTTGACAAGATTGGAACTTTTAAAAGTAATTTGAAAAAATTCAAATTGAAAATTTTTATAAGTTTTGTGGGACACAAGTTATACTTATTTCTAAACTCATTTTATTCAAGCAAATAAATAAGTGCTTTGAATTTATTAAATTTTTTTTTTTTTTAAAATCAAGAGGCACTGGCACGTTACCGCACTGTATGAGCTACAAGTGCACAATCTCATATCGCCTCAATGTAGAAAAGGAAAAATGTTATATATGTAGGCGTATCACTCCAATTGGTATGAGGCCAGTAAAACCCAAGAACAAAACCATGCAAGTTCGGACCCAAAACGGACAATACTATACCATGTGATGGAGTGAATCTTTACATTAAAAAAATAAATAAAAAATTATGAGACTTGGGACCATTTTTTTGGCATTTTTTTGGAGGCATAAAGACGAAATTTGAAATTTTTTAGGGGCTTAGCTTCGCCACTTATGATTCCATTGGCTATATATTCCCATGCCATCTCCCTTTCATTTCAAGACAATTGTTCCTTCTTTTCCTAGTAGCTATTCATTTTGTTCCCTTCATCTCTGTCCTTTCCAATCTCTTCCTTTTTGGTATGTAATTGTTTTTCATGTTTTTGGCTATTACATTCTGCAACCTTTTTCTTTTCTATTTTTGTTTTATCTATATTGATCCTCAAAAATATTTACTTATCAGCAGCAATTTTATAGCCAGAAATGAGTAACTAATTGTTGTTCATAGTCACACCTGCAATAAATAATTCTCCACCTATAATATTCTTGAGTGATCTTGGTCTTTCATTTTAGCTTTTTATTCCATAATCTTTACGCACTATTCTATTCTCGAGTGTCATTTTGTGAAAAGTTAGCAAGAAGTTAATGTCCGATAAGGGGCGAATATGTTGTGGATAATGAGTGTGTGTTTATTAATTAAAAATTCATATACATCATAAAAGAATTATGCCTTTCTACATTTTAATGAATTGCATGCTTGCACACATATAATATACAATTTTTGATCTAATTACTTTCTCATGCAAACTGAAGTACTATTTACACTTCTATATCTAGAGCTTTAAGGACTCCATGGCAAAAGAGCAAATTGTTCTTTCTGGACCATATGGTGGTGGAGGAGGACAGCAGTGGGACGACGGAACTTACAGCACGATAAGAGAATTAACTATACACTCGGAATTAGAAATTATTTCCATCCAAGTCGTCTATGATGATATTGAAGGAAAGCCAGTACTATACACTCGGAATTAGAAATTATTTCCATCCAAGTCGTCTATGACGATATTGAAGGAAAGCCAGTACTGGGGAAAAAGCATGGTGGTGACGGAGGAATACTGAACAAGGTAAAACACACACACACACATATGTGTGTGTGTATATATATATATATATATATATATATTTGTTTCATTTGTTGCTTCTACGATTGGTTATTTTAATCATTGAACATATATGTGTATTATCTTAAAGAAAAGATTCAAATCTTATCCTATAAATGATATACGCATATCTGAACACTCCACCATCTATATTATGAAGCACACAAACTATATATACATATGATAACATAGAAACCTGCAAATTTGTAACCCAAATTTTGTTTTGACTCATGTCCCGTTGCAACCTAGTTTAATCCATTCTTGGGCTTTGCCTTCAATGTATATTTTTTTCACACAAATTTTTTTTTTACGTGGACCCCAATCCTAGTCTCATTGTAACCGAGTTTTTCGTGTCATATGAGAAAACACTGAAAGACGGAATAGAGAATCAGAAGAAAGATTGGGGGCTTGAAAACTTGTAATTTCTGTTATTTTTCGCATATTTATTAACTGATCCGGGAAAAAAAAAAAATCTTCACCATGAACATTACGTTTTTCTGTCATTTTTTATTGTGTTTGTGGTTTGCCGTATTTGTCACAATACTTGTTATACCAGTTGTTAATTGAAATCTTACAGGTGGAATTAAGCTATCCTACTGAGTGCATCCTTTCAATATCAGGGCATTATGGGTACAATGCTAAAAAATATCTTATAGTGAAATCCCTTACAATCCAAAGCAATATGAAGCAATATGGACCATATGGCAAAGAAGAAGGAACACGTTTTACAACCCCGGTAGCTGCTGGCAAGGTTGTTGGACTTTTTGGACGTAGTGCTAATCTTTTGGATTCGATTGGAGTATACCTTGAGCCATCCCACCAAATCCATGCCACAACACCTTTTGGTCCATTTGGAGGTGCTGGTGGGCAGCACTGGGATGATGGAATCTATAGTACGGTGAGGGAACTAATTATACACTCAACAACGGACATTATTTCCATCCAAGTTGTCTATGATGATATTGAAGGAAATTCAATATCAGGAAAAAAACATGGTGGTGACGACGGAACACCAAACTCGGTAATTTATATATCTATGTGCAATTTGATTTTCAAATCTGAAATTCGCTATTTCATTAATGACTATACTACATTATATGGGTATATAAATTTTGAAGAAATCTAGTAATCAAGCCACATTAGCATTTCAAGTTTCTAAGTATAATAATTAAGCCAACATAGCATTTCAAGTTTCAAATCTTCAAGTGACATTCTCTCAGGACTCGCTCACCCTTTGTAGATATTATCCGTTTTGCACCTTTTTAGTGCTCATGGTTTTCAACACGCATATACATAATTAGTAAGTGTCTACACATGTTAGTGCCATCAAAGCTCTTCCCCTTGGCGACATGGGACGTCACAATTACTTCCTCTTGGGACCTAGCATCCTCGATGACGTGACCCTCATAGGCTTGTTTACGCTATCCCATTTTTAGCTGGGGATTGGATCTTAATCCATATGTTACGACTGACTCCACCCTGTGTAGACATTTTTTTAAAAAAACCGTGAGCACCTAGAGATATGTAAAAAAATTGTCAAATTACCACTAAAGCTAATTAGGTTGATCCTCCCCATTCCTTATGTTCTCTTTGTCATGCTCATCAGGAACAAAAAAAAATGTTGGAGATTTCCATGGACGTAGCCTAGAGGTTGGGTGAATCATGTAAAATTATTGCGTCCTAAGCTTGAATGTTGTATGATTGTATCTCCATGCTACGTGTGATTCATGATGTAATGATTGTATGCTTTTGTTGTGACTGAATTCCTAGTAATCGGTATCAGAGATTATGGTTGTTGTGTCTCTGTCCTAACAACTCGTATCAAAGCTAATTGGAGGGGTTAAGTTCCTTACAAACATGTTAATTTAACATGGTACTAGATCTTACATTTGATGTTAAATGATGTAGTATAATGGTTAATCAACCCTGAACTATGGTATAACTTGTATGTTGAAGTTCGGGTCTGACACATTCACATCACATTACTCGTGAAAGTTACATCAATTAATTATTGCTACTACAATGATTTTTTTATTTGTTTGCTTTTTATTTTTATATTTCACTTATATGCGTATGAACTGCAAGTATTAAAATAAGTTCCAAATCATACTGGGGGCATTTGCTTCCGCTCTCCCAGCCCAGGCCCCGTCTGGTAAATGTATGTATGCCCTTTTTCTATGTACATATATCTATAATTTTTTTTTTTTACAAAATATCTCCCTAAAATTTTCAATTACTGAAAATATCTTAATTTTCGCTTTCATTTCTCTTTTACTATTCAAATTCCTTTAATTTTCTAAGAAGAAAAAGTTATAATTTCCTTTTTCAATCAAATCCTATTTTCTTCCAATCTAGTTCTCTTATTTTCTCTCCTCCTTCTCCTCCTCATTATTATTATTTATTTTATTAATTTATATTTTTGAATTTTTCTTTATTGTAATACTTTTTTATAAATAATGACGTAATATTTGAATGTTGACTAAATGCACTGTTATTGCACTTCTATTTTTTGGATTATTACGAGTGTAATGTTAGTTGTCATGTTAATCTAGTTGTAATGTTAGATTTATGTCTCCATTACTGTTTCTATATTCATTCATGTCTCCGTCACTGTTCTTATTTGTTTTTCATGTTAGTTGACTCTTTTTTTTAATTGACAAAAGATTTGGGCTTGAAAACTAGTATTTTTTTTTTTTTTTTTTTTTTTTTTTTTTTTTTTTTTTTTTGGCATAGTGAAATCTTTTTGCCGAACTTCAACTTGAACTTTACATTTTTTTGTCCTTTCGTTATTGTGTTTATGAATTTGCCGGTGTTTATTGTAATACCTAAGTTTATCCTTATTAATTGTAATCTTACAGGTAAAATTAGACTATCCTTCCGAGTATCTCCTTTCAGTACCAGGGTACCATGGGTACAGTACTGCCCATAAATATCATGTAGTGAAATCCCTTAGAATCCAAAGCAATATGAAGCAATATGGGCCATATGGTGAGGAAAAAGGAACTTATTTTATAACCCCAGTAACTACTGGCAAGATTGTTGGATTCTTTGGACGAAATGGTAGTCTTTTGGATTCAATTGGAGTATACATTAAGCCATTCCAAACTTCAACACTTGTTGGTCCATTTGGAACTACTAGTGGACAACAATGGGATGATGGAACCTACAACACAGTAAGGGAATTAATTATATACTCCGGATGGGTAATTGATTCCATCCAAGTTGTCTATAATGATATTGATGGAAAGCCAATATCTGGAAAAAAACATGGTGGTAACGGCGGACAACGAAACGAGGTAATATATATTTACTACATAATGGTAAAAAGTTTCCTCTTTTTTATTGAAGATTTTAATATTCAAGCTTATATTAACGCAAATATGAATGCCATGCATATATACTGACCCTTCATCATCGATATAACTTATGTAGGTCAAATTCGACAAACCGGATGAATTTTTAATTTCAGTTTCGGGATACTTTGGACAAGTAGATAACATGGTTGCTATCCGATCGCTTGAATTTCAAAGCAACAAAACAAAGTATGGACCGTTTGGCATGGAGAAGGGAGAGAAATTTGAAGTCTCATCCACTGGTGGCAAGATAATCGGATTTCATTGAAGGTCTAATGGGTATCTTAATTCAATTGGAGCATATCTCGACAAGTGAGGATAAATTTTAGACAATGATCATATGCTATCTTGTAGTAGTTTTTCAATCATTAATAATTAACTGCATTTGCATTCAATGCAATTACAATAATGGATATGTTGTCCTTAGAGCTTGGTGAAAGTGGTTAAGGCAACACAAACTTAGTCTGTGTGTAATTTCATGTAATTTTTATTATTTCTTGTGCTAAGCCTAAGAGTTTGGGTTGGTTATCTCTGGTGTTTCCTTATAAGAAATTGGTGGTTGTACCTACAAACAAGAATCTTGTTGATTGGGAAAAAAATTATGCTATCTATTTGGAATAATAATTATTTTTATTTGGTTTAAATTTATGGTTTATTATTTCTTGTGCTAAGCCTAAGAGTTTGGGTTGGTTATCTCTGGTGTTTCCTTATAAGAAATTGGTGGTTGTACGTGCAAACAAGAATCTTGTTGATTGGGAAAAAAATTATGCTATCTATTTGGAATAATAATTATTTTTATTTGGTTTAAATTTATGGTTTGATTAATCATCATACGTCATTGGATATATTTTGTAGATGGATAGCTAGTATTGCTTTATCCGAGATTCCAAACTCTATTCTAGTCATAATAGATCATTCATATCTCAGAGAGGAAAATATATATTTGATATTAAGAAAAATTTGAATAATTCTTGTATTTTGGATAAGGTTGTAAACAAAACTTTCACAGAAAAATTGCAACTAACAATGATAGTTTACTAACACCATTAAAATGTTACTATAACAAATTCAAAATCATGAGTAGAGTGAGTGTCACAACCCAATTCGGTGGATCCGAGTCATGACCGGAAACGGTTATGAATCGGACTCTTACCTGATCCGTAAGGCCATCTAAGGGTTCTATATTAATTCAAACAAGGAAGGAGGTTGAAAGGACTTAAATTAAATCAAATGAGGTTTATTCAGGTCATTGTGAACATTTTAAAACACGAGGCCCTAAGTGCTGCTACAATAGTTTTCCTAAAATTGCACATTTTTAATTTAGGAAACTCATGACCTTGCCTGACTCAAACAATCAAAACTCCTTGTGTGATTATAATTTTTGAGTGAAACCAATTCCATTTGAAATTAGACTTAAAAACCTTGACATTTAGCTCAAAGTTGACCTCATTTGGATAAAAAATGAAGGAGTTACGGCCATTTGAAGCTAGCAAAACAAATCTGAGGGAAGTAGGAATGTGAGTCAGCTCAAACTGAACGTGAACTGGCTCAAACTGAAATGTGAGTCAGGTAACATCTCTGCATGAGCTGTGATGCGTTCATTATGGGTGCGTCAATAATAAAACCACTGACTAGCACGAATTCACAAAGAAAGCGGCTAAGTAGGGATATCGATCCACGAAGATTGCGAAGCTTATGGCAATCAAGTTTCAAAGACTAATTTCGTGTTTGTTAATGTCACAAAAGATGATTGGTTTGTTTGTTTGTCGCTTGCATAAAAATTAAAATAAACTAAATTGAATTCAAAGAACAATTAAAGGGAGGCTAGGGAATTGAGTTCACCAAGATCTCGTAATCATGCATACTTGTAAGTAACTTGGGGATACATTTACGTGTGATGTTTAAAGTGTAGAAGTATAAAATAACCACAACAATTTTTCAGAAATTCATGTAAGACAAGACTAAGCATAACCCATCTGCGGTTGGCATGACACATCCACCTAAACTAGGGTGTGGTATGAGTCATCTTCCCTAAGCATGACCTATCAAGGTTTTGACATTACAAGTTTTAGCATATGAAATCAATTCTCTAGCATAGATTATCTTTGGTTGGCATGGACCATCTACCTAACTACATTAATTTAGGAGTGTAGCATGGTCCATCTTCCCTTGGCATAATTTATCTAAATTCATATATAACATGTCTATAATCCCATTTCATGAATATCAATCTTCATTGTCACATATGAAAATATTAAGAGTATAAGTATATAATCATGCTTCTAAGACAAGAGTTGCTTGGTGTATACACCTAAACATATAAGTATTTGGCCTAGATTGTAAATCAATTCAATGTAAATACACAAATTGAATAATACATCATCATCTTTATTCATGAAACACATCACATACAAAAGTTTTCCCCAAATTAAATTACAAAACTAGATGATTACTTAAGTTTTCCAATGGTGTGCACGGTAACACCCATTTCTGGGTGAATTGACTATTCTACCCTTGGTCCTTTTCTTGTATGGTTTTGAAACCCTTGTCCCCATTTTGTTTCCGTTGAGTCTCAAAACTCCTCGAAAAGCTACTTTTGTATCTTAGGGATGACGTACATCTCCACGTATTTTGGGATCCGTATCGGGTCATCTTTCGGGTCATCACTGACACACCGAGTTTGCAAAACTTGGGTCGTCACAGGTTACCCTTTCTCTCTTGTGAATTTTTTAAATTCATTTTTTGTGTTTTGATTTTTTTTCTTTCAATAATTTATTAGTAACCTTTTCTCTATTATGAATTTTTTTACTCAAAAATTTTAATTTTTTTCAATTAACAAATTTAATTTTCTTTTTTTAAAAATTTTAAATTTCTCTTATTTCAATTCATTTATCTATTTTGCTTCTAGGGTTTCAAGAGAGAAAAGAATAAATAAAAGTTGGTTCATGTTACCTTTCTATTCCATACAAAGTGTGGATTTTTAATTTTTTCAATTCTTTTTCTCTATTAAGAGAATTTTTGTAATTAATTAGCAACTTGATAACAAATTAATTCTTTTTTTAGTAATTTAAAATTTTCTTTTAAGTTTTAATTTTTCTTATTTCTTTTCAATTCTTTTTCTGGTACCTTCTATTTGTTATGAATTTTTTGAATAATGGATTAGCAACTTGAGAACAAATTAAAATTTTTCAATAAATTAAAATTTTTGTTTAATTTTTAATTGCTCTCATCTCTTTTTAATTTGATTTCTGTAATTGATTAGAACCTTAATAAATTACTACAAGTACAATTAAGTTTTTCCACACATATAGAAGCTATATTATTTTTGCTTCATTATTGTTTTGTTTAGTTTTGGATCACAATGAATTTTTTACGTATGATCACAACAAGTTTTTTACATATAGAAACTATATTATTTTTGTTGATTATTGTTTTGTTTAGTTTTAAATCACAATTAAAATTTTATTATTTTTACAAATTTTTTTATTAAAAGAAATAATAAAACCGCAATTTTAATTAATTATTTATAAAAATAATTTTTTATTATAAAAGTTATAAATTAAATTTTAAATTTTGACTACGTTCATACCACTTATTTTTTACTAGTGTCATAAAAGTCATTATAACTCTTAGTATAAAAATTAAAAATAAATTAAAATTTTATAACACTATTATTTAATATATGTAACAAACATATCTTTGTCGTTATTTCGTGTTTGTAATCTAAATATTGAACCTAGAGAATTGGCCGACATTTCAATGTTGGATTGTTTGAAAAATAAATTTAAATAGATTAGCGGCAAGAATCAAAATAATTAAAAAATCAAAATACTCCTAGGGTCAGTTTGGTGCAATGGAAAAAGGAGGAAAAGAAAGGAAAAGTGATGGAGGGTGATTAAAAATGTGTGTTTGGCATAAATGGCTAGAAGGAAAGGAAATAGAAGGAATGATTTTGGAAGGATAACACAAGGGTTGCACAGTAACTTTTTTATCCTCCCAAAAATGGGAGGAAATGGAAGGCTAGGGTTGATGTATAATTTCTAATGCCAAATTTACCCTTACACAAATTAAGATTACACTTGATTTTAGGATTTAGTTTGCAAAACAAGAATTACAGACCTTGATTAGTTGATTTAGAAAAAAAAATTAAAACAAAACCCATACATACAAGTTAGCAGTTGCAGAGAGAAAGAAAGGGGGGCAAGCTTGAGAGTTGAGAGACAGCGGCTGAAGCTTGCGAACGGAGAACCCAAACTGGAACCGCAGCGATGGAAACTGAAAGATATGGGTTTTGATTTTTTGAACAATATGAAAGATATGGGTTTTGATAATAGGTAATAAGTTTTGAACTTTTGATTCTTGCAGACGCAAACGGATAGATAAACTAAAATATATGGGTTTTGAACTTCTAATTCTTGTAGATTTTGTAGTTTGCAGTTGGAGAGAGGGAGAGAGAGGGCAAGTTCAGAGTTGAGAATAGGAATAGAGATGGAGGCGATTGGGGAGACTAAAATGATTTGCCCTAAAAATATTATTTTTATATTAGAGAGTTAAATCAATAAATTTATTTTCAAAGTTGAGAATAGTAATAGAGAGGGAGGCGAATGGAAAGGCTAAAATGATTTGCCCAAAAAATATTATTTTTATATTAGAGATTAAATCAATAAATTTATTTTTTTAAATATAAAAAAGTATAATAATAAATTTAATTAAGTAATTTTTTTCCTTCTCTTTCTATCCTTTAAGCCTTGGGTTTCGAGAAGAATCAGAACAAACATAAAAGAATTTATGAAAGAGAGAGTGTAGCTTTTCACCTGGTAGCTAGGGTTTTCAAGAAAACAGAGAGAACAATCGAAGAAAGGATACAGGGTAGTGTTCTCTAAGATTGTTGCTGCGAGGATCATTTTGACACCGCGCCATGGAAAGGCGCAGAAGAAGACGCAGAACTGGAGGTTTAGCGACAAGCAATTGCAACGAAGAACAAACAACCTCTGGTGTTGGTGTTGGTGTTGGTGTTCATCTTCCTTCGCCCATTATTGTCGATATTCTTTCAAGGCTTCCAACCAGTAGCCTCTTGAAGTGCAAGTGCATTTGTAAAAACTGGCAATACTTAATTATGCATTACCTTTATTTTCGTAAGATTCGTCTCGCGAGGGCGGACATTTTAGATGATATTGTGATACAGGTTAACGGTTCTCGTTCTCGAAAACTATTCTATTTGTTGGAGCTCGGAGAAGACTCTAATTATGTTCATCGAACTCACTGGCCAATGAGGTTCAAAATCAAATCTAATAAAAAATTGATGGATTCTTGTAATGGTTTGTTTTGTTTATGGGATGACGATAGAGACACTGTTCATATAAGCAATCCCATTTTAGGAGAATTTGTTGCCCTTCCCAAACCCAAAACTCTTGAAATTCAAAGATAGAATATGAGAATTAAAAACTGTATTTGATACTTTCATTGATGGTGTTACACTCAATTTATAGAATAGAATTTAGCTAAAATAGGTAACTAATTACCTACCAAGTAGCCCTAAATTAAGGAGTAAATAATTCAATCATACAGCTGTATTATGAGATAAAATCTCAACACTCCCCCTCAAGTTGGTGCATAGATGTCACACATGCCCAACTTGTCTAAAAATTTTGAAAACACTTGATTTGAGACTGCTTTTGTGAGAATGTCGGCTAGTTGATTCTCATATCAAATCTTAGGCAACTCCACAATTTTCCCATCCAACTTCTCCTTAATGAAGAATATGTCTATTTCAACATGTTTCGTACGATCATGTTGAACTGGATTATGGGCAATATCACATGTTGATTTATTGTCACAATATAGTCGAATAGGTTATCCAGGTAGATAACCCAAATCCCGTAAGAGAAGTCTTAACCACAATGTTTCACAAAGTGCAAGCGCCATACTTCTGAATTCAGCTTCTGCACTCGAGCGAGCAACAACATTTTGTTTCTTGCTTCTCCATGTAATAAGATTACCTCCTACAAAAGTAAAGTAACCAGAAGTAGATCGTCTATCATCAATAGCTCCAGCCCAGTCAGCATCAGTATATGCATCTATGTTTTGATAACCAGCATTTTTAGTGAACAAAACTCCTTTTCCAGGATTAGATTTCAAATAACTCAAAATCCGCATAACTGCATTCATATGTTGCTCTCCAGGATCATGCATAAACTGGCTAACAATGCTCAATGCATAAGCCAAATCCGGTCTCGTGTGTGCTAGGTACATCAATTTCCCTACAAGTCTTTGGTATCTTCCTTTATTAGTAGGTACTTGGTTGAACTCAACACATAACTTCAATCCTTCTTCCACTTGTGTCTCAGCTGGTTGACATGTTGTCATGCCAGTCTCTTATAATAGATCTAAGGCATATTTTCTTTGAGATAGAAAGATTCCTTTATTAAATCGAGATACTTCGATCCCAAGAAAATATCTCAAAGGACCTAGATCTTTCATTTTGAATTCTCTGGATAAGTACTACTTGAGAGCCTTCATTTCTTCAAGATCATTCCCTGTAACCACCATGTTATCTACATATACAATGAGTGCAATGATCTTACCCTGTTGTTTCTTCAGAAAAAACGTGTGGTCTGAATTGCTCTGACGGTAGCCAAAGGCTATCATAGACTTAGTGAATCTTCCAAACCATGCTCTTGGAGATTGTTTGAACCCATATAATGATTTCTTTAACCTGCAGACCTTCCGATTATATTTTTCGGGTATCATGCATCCTGGTGGGAGATCCATGTATACTTCTTCAAATAATTCACCATGCAGAAGGCATTCTTCACATCGAATTGTTGCAATGGCCAATCTAAGTTTGCAGCTAAAGACAACAAGACTCGAACTGTGTTGATTTTGGCTACAGGTGCGAACGTCTTTGTGTAATCGATTCCATAGGTTTGGGTGTAACCTTTCGCCACCAATCTTGCTTTAAAGCGTTCAACTGTGCCATCAGCTTTATATTTTACAGTGTAAATCCATCGACATCCAACTGGTTTCTTTCCTGGTGGAGGATCAATGAGTTTCCAAGTTTCATTTTTCTGCAAGGATTTCATCTCCTCGTTTATGGCTGCTTTCCACCTAGGGTCAGCTAAGGCTTCCTGCACACTATTAGGAATAGATACAGTAGATAATTGATTCACAAATGACAAATTTGATTCTGACAAATGATGGTTCGACATATAATTGATCATGGGATACTTAACTTTACTAGAAAGTTTGGGTTCATATGCAGGTTTACGAATACCTTTAGTGTGACGCAGTGGTAGTTGTTTCCTGAGTGGCTCAGGCACTAAAGCAGGAACATCCTTAGCAGGCAATTGGTTTGATATATCAGTTGTGAGGAACTCGAACTCGGACGATGATGGGGTTGGCGTTGGCGCCATACTTTCCATTTCTGGGCGTTCATCACCACTTTGATCAAAACTTATACCACTCGAATCCTATTCGCCTGACTCCTAATTGGTTGGTCCAACTCGTGAGTCATCAACACTAGAATCGCCGGCCTCAAAAGTGTGATAATCATAATCTAGAGTCTGAATTTCGTTCTGGTACTCCCCTTAAAGTTCAGACGCAGAGGAAAAATACATTGAGTCTTCATGGAAGACAACATCCATTGTGATAAACATTCGTCGAGTTGGAGGGTGATACAGCAATATCCCTTTTGATGAGTAGCATATTCGAGAAAAACACATCGCAATGCTCGAGGAGTTAGCTTGTTGCGTTGATGTTTATGGAGGTGTACAAATGCTACACAACCAAAGACATGAGGAGGTAGATTTGGGACGGTTGGGGCAACAACTGCGTCAGTGAGAGCCTGTAATGGTGTCCGGAAGGCAATAGAGTTGGAAGGTACTCGATTAATTAAATATGCTGCAGAGGTAAGTGCATCTTCCCAATATGATAATGGCATATGCGCTTCTATCAGTGAAGCACGAACAACCTCCAACAAGTGTTGACTTTTTCGCTCTGCAACCCCGTTCTGCTGGGGTGTATTGGAACAAGTGGTTTGATGAATAGTTCCATGTGCTTCCAAATATTGCTGAATGTCAAAACTCTGATATTCTCCACCATTGTCACTACGGAGAACCTGAACATGTGCATTGTATTGAGTTTCAATCATTTTATGAAACTTCTGAAACAATAAGTTCACTTCACCTTTGGACTTCATCGAGCACAACCAAGTCATCTTGGTATCAGAGCCATCATTGAACCATATTTTTGAACCTCTTTGAATTTTTTTTTTTTTTTTTTTTTTTCCTGTGAAATTCACAGACCCATACACCCATACATACATATAAATTCAGAGACCCATACCCGTACACATACAATCACCATAAACCAGATTCACAGACCTATACCCGCTGTCAAACCGCTGCCGCTCTTGCGGCCTTCCCAGATCTGTCGAACCGCTGCCGGCGATCTTCCAGTGATCTTCCATCGATGACAACGCTGCCGAACCGCTGTACCGTCCATAGCCAGTCGCCGATCTGAACTAGATTTGGACTCGTGGCGCCAATCTGCGCACGACCATTTACGTTCGTTAACTTCGTTGTTGCCGTCGCCGGATCTGCAGTCGTTATCACTGCCGTTATTCATCAATCGGCCATCTATAGTAGCCCATCCACCGTCCGAAGCCGCAGTTCAGCTACCGCCCGCCGTCCGCCGCTGTAATCACAGCCGAACAAGCCACCTCTCCGCTACCGAACCAAAGATAGAATATGAGAATTAAAAACTGTATTCAATACTTTCATTGATGGTATTACACTCAATTTATAGAATAGAATTTAGCTAAAATAGGTAACTAATTACCTACCAATTAGCCCTAAATCAAGGAGTAAATAATTCAATCATACAGCTGTACTATGAAATAAAATCTCAACAAAAACAGATGGAAAAGAAAATCGCTTTGAAGTGACTTATTGTTTTGGATTTAGTCCTACAACAGAGGAGTATAAAGTTTTAAGATTTAGATTACGTCCCTCTTATTACTCAAATATTGATGTTCATACTCTTGGAACAGATACATGGAGAAATGTTGGGGATGTACCTTATCCAGTCTATGATTTTGGTGTTAACCTAAATGGCGCTGTACATTGGATAGATTACAGTCATAAGAGGGATACAAGTATCTATTCGTTTGATATTGATGAAGAGCAGATCCATCCTATCCCACTTTCTCTTGAGTTGAGAAACACCTATTTGGATGAGGTTGATTTGGGGGTGTTGGGAAATTATCTCTCTATATATCAAAATTCCATGAATTATCTTGATATATGGTCTATGAAAGATTATGGAGTAGCCGAGTCTTGGACTAAACTCTGTATTCTGAAAACGTCAATTCTACACGAGGCGCGGCTTTTTCCAGTCACATTTTGGAGAGATGGAGAGATCTTGATTTCATGCATGGATGGTCTTCTAGTTTACTATAATCAGGAAAAAGGGAATTTTACTGCACTCAAGGTTTATTACCCAAAAGAAAAGGTACATGAGTACCATGCGTTTTCCTACCGTTCAAGCTTTTTCTCACTTAAAGATGTTGCAAGCAAAGCAGGTTTGAGGGTTGTGGATGTCAAGTTCAAAAAGTAATGTACCACTTCCGATCCATCAGTAAGTTCTATTAGTGCTTAATAAGCCTTACTTATATCCATTTATGTGTGGTGGAGTTCGCAATATCAGTTCAATAAGTTTGCTTGAAAAGTTTTTTCTTCATTTATTGGTTTCCAAACTTGGATACAGTTGTGAATAATGTTACGATTGGGAAAGTTTATACTGAACTTTTTAAACCAAATCTTATATTTATAGTTAATATGGACATTCAAAGGAAACTTTATAATTAGTTGCTCTTAGGAGTTAGAAATTGAGAAGAGTATATTGTGCTTTTACACCATTTAAATATATATCTGTTTTTACATTTCTGCTGCTACTTTTTTTAAAGCAAGACATTGGAGGATTTCTTTTGCTGTGTTGGTGTCTCTGTAAGGTCTCATGTCAAATATATATTCAATCATTCTTAGTCCCCGGCACTCTCACATTTTTTTGGTTTTCGATGCAAACCTTCTGGTTTTTTTTTTGCTCTGTTCTTTCTTTCTTTTGTTTCTTTAACTAAGAATTTTCTTGAATTCTTGTTAAAAAACATGTTTATTGTACCTCTTATTTTTCAAAAGTATACAATATTATATATAACTATGCACTTATAATTTTATATTGAATTACCATTTGAAGTTCCGTCAGTATGTTCTCAATTTTTATTACCACTTTTTCTGTTACAATTATTGGCCTTGTTTCCTTTCATGCATTTAAATATATAATTTTTTTTATTGAATTTTAAACAAGTCATACTGTCATACACTTAGAATCTTTAATAGGGCATATGGAAATTTCCAGGTAATGGAATATTTGTGAAGTTGCTTTTTGGAATTGAGAAGTGAGATGAATCTATTGTTCTTTTCATACATTTCTTGCAGGACTCTGTGTGTTTGTTGACACCTATTTTGGTAAATTTTGAATTGATGACGTGGCAATAGAGAATAGTGATATTCCACGTGGATTGAAGTTGAAATTGCATGCAAAGATGGGAAGAGTATTTTGAATAAGTTGTGGATAAAGATCATTGTTTTAAGACTAATCTTTTAATTAATTTTAGTTGCAAAATTATGTTATTTATAGGATTAGTTTATTTTGAATTAATAGTTGATTAAGTGATAGAGTTGTAATGCAAGTAAAATACTTGCATATATGAGTTTGTTTTACGTAGTTTTCTATAAATAATATTATAGGCATGCTTTATAAGTGGTCCAGCACCCTCAGAATCATTATATTTCTTTGTTTGCCTTCTCAAGCACTTTTCCCAAATAGCATCCTTGTTATCTCTATCCCTCTCCCTCTCTATTTCAGTCTCGTTCTATTTCTTTCCCTATATCTCTATCTCTCTATCTATTCTCCCTATCACTTTCTATATCTATAGTTTCTCCCCTTTCTATTCTCTCAATATTTACTATAATTTATTCATTGAAAAGTCCTTTTAACTAAGGCAATTTTGAACCCAAAAAGGAGTTTTCCTGTTCCCTTTTTTCCTCGCAATCGCCTGAAAGTCAGCTTACTCAAAGGGACTAACGTTGACTATTTACAATCGAACCACACAAGTGGTTCTGGCATGACTATTTACAATCGAACCACACAAGTGGTTCTGGCACGCCCGCTTTAAGATCGGATCTTAGGAGCCGATTTTAGCATCAACATTTTTGGCACGCCTGGTGGGACATCAAATCCAAATCAGATCTAACGAGCCGATTTTAGGGTCAACAGTGTTTTTGTGTTTTTTTCCCTTCTTCATACAGTACTATTTTTATATAAGGTATTTTCTTTTTGGTTTCTTGGTTGTTGCTGATGTATCATACTCAAATTAGATTCAATTCTGTTTGGTGAAAAATATGATTAAAATCCTCTTTGCCTTTTGATTAGAGTCTGTAGTTTTCAATATTAAAGATTCTCCTAAATACTAGTCAAAATATATTTATGTAATTTATTTATGTTTTATATAACACTATGACCATAAATTTGTACTAAATTTTGTTTCCTTGTCGGGTTGAAAATCGCAGTTGTATATATTGTGCATTATAATTATTTTTATCTTTTGATTTCATGCCATGCTATTTTCAGAATTTGAATTATTGCGTCATTTTCTCTTTGCACCAAAAGAGGTTAAAGGAACTCTGGGCCATCTATATATTTCTCATTGTTCTCTAGTCTTGTTTAATTTCATCTTTGCTTTGGCCCCTCAACTCTTTACCCTGTGTCCCACCCTAACTATCACCAGAAAGGGCAGGTTGGGTAGTTTGCAGTGGGGAGGGGTTGAAGGAACAATTCCCAAAGTGTCAAGGTTTTGTGCTTTCGAAACTTGATTAATTTGCTTAACAATTTTTACAAACTTAATGCTCCAATATAAAATCCGTTGCAAAGGAAAGAATGAAGGAGGCTACTCTACAAAGAAGTGATTTTTTGTGCGCATGCTGTTGCAAAGGAAGAATGTGTTCTTGTATAAAATCCGTCATCTATGTGGTTGCTAGAGGTCCCTGTATGTTCTTTTAGATTACTTTTGTATACCCTTAATCTGCTACAAGGCAAAGAAAAATCTTTTTGCAGCTACTACAACTGCTGGTAATATAATCTCGTGCTTAATTACTTGAATGCATATTATTTGTTTTTCGTATTTATATATATGTTTACCATTTTAAATTGGCTATTGGGGCATTTTTACTCTTTTGCATAGGTAGGCCCTTGAATTTTTCCGTGTTAATCTTTCTCAATTATTTGCTGCTGCCTACTTCCTTATTTCTTAAAGAAAAGAAAATGATGTCGAACCTGAATTGTAATATTTTTTTCTTAGGAAAGAAAAACACACACACCCCTTTTGCCCTTAACCAGGCTGGAACCTTCCCTCCTCTTTAAGGATGGGGAGGTTATACCATTGGGCTAGATTAGATGCCCTTTGGTCCTCAGTTGTAAAAATAGAAATACTTATGTTTTTTGTTTTCTGAGAAATTGGGGATGCTTGGCTTTTGCAGAACGACATTTTCGCCTTACTTTAACTTGAAGATATTGCCCGACATAGAGTGAGTTGGAGAAGACAGATTGTGGGGGTTCGTTTTCGTAACACAATAACATACATATAAATGGTGATATCATACACAAATCTGAGTGATTCAGACAACATAATAGGATCCGAGGTGGACTGAGAGAGGTGGAAGCACAGGCAAACTCGAGAGAGAGAGGGTGAAGATGGCAGTGTCATGGTAGACCATTGACTCCCTTGATGAAGGTGTATGGAGAAAGCATAAAGGTTATTTTCTCCTCCCTTGTTACTCTACCTTTACTTGGTCTTGGAACACATCCTTATATAGGCCAAGTAAGAGGTTGGGTGATGTCATATAACATCATATGCGGGGCCCATTAACATTATAAAATAATGTTAATTAAGATGGGTCTAGAATGTATGGGAGTCAAAATGGTATCTCTCTCTGCGAATCAGGTCGAGTGTTAATTCAACGAGTCCTGAACTTCATTCACCAAACTAAAAACATCCTCGGATCCCAAGTAATCCTGAGTCATGCTCCTAACTCAGGTCTTCTAGTCTTCGATCTTTTGTTCGAGGTATACTGATAACGTGGTAAATGGCACGTATCTTTGACCGTTGACCGTTTAATTTGTGGGCCATCATTGCTGATGTGGCGTAGTCTGTTGACTATTTGACCAAGCTATGTGATCATTGTTGATAATGTGGCATAATTCTTTTACTATTTGACCAAGTTATGTGGGCCATGTGGGCTAACATAATTTGGACACCTACATTTTGTCACCCTGCGCAGATGTTCTTTGCAGAATTCATGAAAGAGTAGTCGTGCATAAATGACTCAAGAGTGGTGTTATATGCGAGGTTTGACGACCTTGTGAAATACTAGGGCTTGGTGACCTAAGGGTGAAGCCTTCGGGTTTGATGACCCGGGCAGGATGCCAGGGTTTGGGTACCTGGGCACGGTGCCAGGGTTTGGGCACCTGGGGGGATGCCAGGGTTTAGGTACCTGGGCGCGATGCCAGGGTTTTAAGTACCTGGGCGCGATGCCAGGGTTTAAGTATCTGGAGTACCTGGGCGCGATGCTAGGGTTTTGAGTACCTGGGCGCGATGCCAGGGTTTAAGTATCTGGACGCAATGCCAGGGTTTGGGTACTTGGGCATGATGCCAGGGTTTTGGGTACCTGGGCATGATGCCATGGTTTTGGGTACCGGGGCGCGATGCCAGGGTTTAGGGTACTTGGGCGCGATGCCAGGGTTTTAAGTACCTTGGCGCGATGCCAGGGTTTTGAGTACCTGGGCGCGATGCCAGGGTTTTGAGTACCTGGGCGCGATGCCAGGGTTTTGGGTACCTGGGCGTGATGCCAGGGTTTTGGGTACCTGTGCGCGATGCCAGGGTTTTGGGTACCTGAGCGCGATGCCAGGGTTTAAGTACCTGGGTATGATGCCAAGGTTTTGAATACCTGGGTGCGTTGCTAGGGTTTTGAGTATCTAGGCGCGATGCCAGAGTTTGAGTACATGGGCGCGATGCCAGGGTTTTGAGTACCTAGGCGCGATGCCAGGGTTTAGGTACCTAGGCATGATGCCAGGGTTTTGGGTACCTGGGCGCGATGCCAAGGTTTTGGGTACTTGGGCGTGATGCCAGGTTTTGGGTACCTAGGTGCGATGCCAGGGTTTTAAGTACCTGGAATTGATGCCAGGGTTTTGAGTACCTGGGCGCGATGCCAGGGTTTTGAGTACCTGGGCGCGATGCTAGGGTTTGGGTACCTGGGCGCGATGCCAGGGTTTTAAGTACATGGGCGCGATGCCAGGGTTTTGAGTACCTGGGCGCGATGCCAGGGTTTAAGTACCTGGGCATGATGCCAGGGTTTTGGGTACCTGGGCATGATGCCAGGGTTTTGGGTACCTGGGCGCGATGCCAGGGTTTTGGGTACCTGGGCGCAATGCCAAGGTTTTGAGCAGGATTGTGAGGGTTTAAGTACCTGGGCATGATGCCAGGGTTTTGGGTACCTGGGCGC